ATGTTGGTTGATTTTTCTAAATTTAAAATAAATAGAAATCAAAGAGTGCAATGAAAATCTTTTCCTTGAAGTTGATTAACCCATTTTTCAATCATGTCAGTTGTAACTTGTTGTTGTTCTTCTTTACTTAATTGTTCACCATCTTCACCTTCCTACAAAATCAACTCATTAATTTTTTTCTAAGACAGATATTGAATAATATACTTGATCAGATAAAGGTTCCATTTTAGCAAGTTGTTCAGGTGATTGATGAACTTGTTGTTCTGGATCATCATCCGGAATCAATTTATCATCTTCATTAACATCAATATTAAGTAAATCAGTATCTTTTTTTTTTAAATTTATAAAATTCAGAATCAACTGTTACTAAATAAGCTAAATCCTTTTTATGTTATTCAAATGCTGCAATTTCATTTTCTTTAGGTCTAAAAATCATAAATAGAAATTCTTTTGTAAAAAAATCTTTTTTTATCTACTTTTTATTCTTTATTGGTCTTGTTCTTCTAAGTTTGATCTGAAAGAGTATCTGATAATAACTATGGATCAATACTGTTTATCTAAGAAGTTTGTTTTTCTTTCAAAATTTAAATAAATGTTCATCAAAAAAAGAAAAGAAAAAATTTTTCATTAATTTAACCTATGCACACATGAACTATACGTAAAAGAAAAAAACATCAGTGATTAATGATGGAAAATTGTTGAAATGGTTGAGAAATTAATACCTTAACAATAAGCAATATGAGTAAGAAAACTTTACGTTGAATAAATCCTTAAGCGGCCCCTCAAAAACATAACTTCGACAGGGTACATGGAATATTGATGAAACTTTGTATAGATGTTGGGCACATGGAAGCACATTACCAAAAATTTTCACGCCTCCATAGCTTACCGTTCAGGAGATATCAGGGTATCAAGCTGCAAAACAGGGCTCTCACGCGGACAAAGTTTTCATCACTATAGTTCACGCTACAGAGCTCGGGTTGGTTTTATTTGAAAGATAAATCCTTGCAGCTTTGGATGAGTGAAAGGATTTTTTTAAATTTCACTTTATTTCATTTTTTGGATCATCGAGATCTCAAAAATCTGGAAATCTAATGTATGGTTTTCTAGAAAACTGAGGGGTTTCCATAGCATTGAAGAGTAATTAAAAAATCCCTTTCCCTCATCTGAAGGACTATTCATATATCTATCAATTAAAAAAAATTGCAGCTCTCTCGAGTAAAGTGTATTGAAGAAAAAATTTGTCCGCAGTTCGATCATTACTAAAAAAAAAATCAATTTTGAGAAAAATGCAAAAGAAAGTTTTTTTTTTATAAAATCTTTCTATTATTACTTAAAACAGAGATGAAGCATAAATATATTACATGTGAATCGATGTACATCAGAGAGCTCTCATACGACATACGACATGATAGATGACGCTATCTACTAATGTCGTTATAACTGTTATACCGTTGAAAAACGTAATAAAGACAGAAGAGTAAAAATTACTCTTTTTAGTCCAGGTAGCATCAAAAATTGTTTACAAAACTCCCCCAAACTATCGCAAATCAAAACTATTTTTATGAATTCGTATACGAGGCAACTTAGACAACATGCTCATATGTTTATCTCAAAAATCATTTTTTCGACGAAAATCGACTTTTCTGAGGGGGGCCCTTAAGCAAATTTATAATTAAAATATTTCCTAACATCTGTGGATTGTGTATTCCAGTTAAAGATAATTTATTTTCGAGCAATACAACTCATGTTATATAAAGCTGCTTTTCGTTGTTTAGTTGTTTTCGAATTGATCGGATCATACAATAAATATTCGTATGATAGTTTGTCAGACAGTTCGTTGTTGTGAATGAATATAATGAATATTTATTTTTTCAAAATAAATTCTTCTTAAAGAAAAGTTAATTATCATTGAAAACTATCGATTTGCTACGGCGTTAGGAATGAGAAGTATTCATCATGTCCTAGAGCCAGATGCGTAATTGATTAGAATAGATCCAACAAACATTCGTACGATCTGAGTCTCGAAGTTTATCAGTATTTCTTAACAACTTTTCGATATACCGTTGTTGAGTAAGTGTCGTTCGAAGATCTTGATAGCCATGGTTCAGATAGCCACTGCCTTTATTGAGAATCACTTCGGCGAGTTCATGAAAGTGTGTTACAATTGACAAAATCAATGTAGCAAGATTTTCATCAGGATATAGATGGAATCCGCTGGTCCATAAAGAAATGAGTCGTGGAAAACATTTTGCCAATATGGAAATATCGATTAATTTTGATAAGTCAAATTCACCTAAAAAACAAAAAAACATATTTCAGTGATCTACTTCAATAATAGATTAACTAATAAACATTGGTTCACATTATCGTCGTTAAAAAATCAAAGTCTTATGTTCTTTTGAACGATGCCACTAAGTTCGTATAGCAATCGATTCTTATAAATAGTACTTTTATTTTCTACGTGCTATTTTCTATACTTGGTTATGATAATAAAATATTTTATTTACTATATCGATTGTAATGGCGCAAATGTAAATAACGCAGATTGAAAAGAGGTGAAGTAGCAAAGCGTCCGTTGCCGAAAGTCGAATCATTATGCATTACATAATTCCAATTGATGGTTAATTTAACTAGATTTGGTGCTCCTCGCAGAATAATATCAAGAAAGTAATGGCATTGTGATGTCAAGAAGAATTTTTCCTTGTTTTCCCCTTCGAAGAAAGAAAGTGAATGCAAGTTATCCAGTCGAGGTTGATCAAAGTTTGATGGAAAGGTGATTAACTTTGCAAATGCCTAAAAGCAAAATAATAGATAAGTTGCAGTGTTTAATTCTAATGTGTAAGGAAATTGATGATAACTGTTGCTTTCTTTCATTTTGTGAGTCTTTTTTCACAGTAAACTTGTTGAAGTTTCTTCGATATGCTTAATTTTTAGCAAACAAATCTTGCAGAGTAGAAAATGAAGGCTTGAAAGAAAAACAACACTCATATCTCTTCCTATCTAAAACACTACATTTTACGAGACATTGATGTACTGACGAAAAATCGAAGTTCGTCACCGTCATTCAATATGAGAGAATAATATCGAAGGTTGAAGCGTGGAGTGTAACATAGTTTTATCTCATCTTGATAAATTCAGTTATCAGCCATTATTTTTTTTTTGATTCCTTTCTATACAACTTAATCTAGATATAATTGCTTAAAAGCTTTCTTTTCACTTTATTTATAGATGACAATAGATCCTAACTATATGTAAAAGGATTTTTTTTTGTTTTGGTGATTAATTACACTTTGTGACGTAAATTTATTAAAATCTAATCGATATTAACACATAGAAATCTAAGTTGAATGGTCAAGAACGGTAATACTCCTCGGTCAAAGTTGGCCCGATAAGCATTGCTCAATATTTACATCACTGATGATTTTTCTGATAGACAATAAAACTTGCCCTTTTAAAGACTGAGCGCTGGTCAAATAATATAAAATGAAGAAACAAAACTTTGCCTCAACTCCCAAGTAAATTACTCTAACAGTTGGCTCCGATCAAATTTTATTGGAATTCCTATAAGATCAACTAAATCCTATGGAAATCCGGATTGCGGAGCGACATCTCGATTCCTAGTGTTGGATATGATGGGATCAGTGGTGTCACATATCCCGAATTTTGGAAATGCATTATATCTCCAACGGGAGACGAGCTGGTCTCTTGAGCGAGATGCCATATCAGATGTGGGGCATACAAATCTCTGAGGGTGAGAGTACATCTCCCTAGGAGACGACCACATCTCGTGAG